GTTGGTGACCTTTCAACTGCTCAAGTGCTTTATTGCGGATTTCGCTCGCGAACATCTGTTCTTCTTCAACTATTCGTTTCAATATCCGTAACCTTTCACTCTTTTTATCCTTCCCGACTTTAGCCGTCTTTATTCCCAGTGCCTCTGGTACTGGGATAGGCTTTGCCCACTCCATGCCAGGCACAAGCGATTGTTTCGCTGCAGCTGTCGCTTTTTTCTGTGTGGCAGCTATCTCTTCAAGTGTTGGTGACCTTTCGTCATTTTCGGTAGCAGATCGAGGTTCGAAAAGATTCGGGATACGCTCTGGTACTCTCTGCAAATCTTTTTCTTCGGTTTCATTTTCGGTAGTAGATCGTGGTTCGAAAAAGGTCTTACTGACGTTTTTCGGATCCAGCTCTGGCGCCAAGTTCAAAATTGGTGACCTTTCATCTTTCGTTCCCAGTGCCTCTGGTACTGGGATAACTTTTTCGACACATTCTTTTTCTGTGGCTCCTTGCTCCCAGTCATCTGCGATCATACTTCTCCCGTCCGGGAGAAATATGATCGCCTCATCCGTGTCTGGCGCAAGCGGTTCCTGTTTCCTCTCGTTCACTTTTTCGACATTTCCACTTTCACTTTTCTTCTCCGGTGCCTCTGGTACTGGGATTGTCCGTTGGCTAATCTCGTTCTGCTGCACTCTCGTCATTCCCGGTGCCTCTGGTACTGGGATGACCTTTTCTCTTCCCTTTCGTGTCAGCATTATCCGATTTAGTGTGTCTTCAATCTCCTGTTGAATCATTTGCAGCTGCTCAAATGGTGACAATTCTTTTTTCGTTTCTTTTGCCTTTCCCGGTGCCTCTGGTACTGGGATTAGCGTTTTTTTAACCGTTTGAGCATTTCCCGTCTGTTTTACAAGTTCGGTGACCTTTCCGACTTGGACTTTTGCGATCGGTTTCGGGTCATCTTCTTTCTCTTCTTCGCCTTCATTATCCATCAGTACAAATTTCTTTTCTAAGAAGTCAAATCCAAGTAACACCTGTACGTCATCACATTTCGGTCGGACGTAGAAGGAGTGTTCACTAGTCTTTTTTCTTAAGGTCACTGGTGCTACGCAGTAGTGCGTCACCAGGAATCCTGACGTTCCACTAATTCCGTTTATCTTCACCAATCTGTCTGGTGGCAATGGGAGCATGTGCAGTCCATTCTTTTCGCAAAACGGTTTGCTGATCAGCGACGTCTCAGCGCCGGTGTCCAACATTGCGTTGACCTTTATGTCTCCCACTTTCACTTCATGGGTGTACGATTCAATTCTCTTGGGCAATTTTCCATTTTGAATCTTCAACGTATGAATCTTACATTTCACAGGGATTAGCGATACTGGTCCCGGATCCATATCGGGAAGCACTTGCTCCTTTGCTGAAGTACTGTGACCTTTCAGTATTTCGCTTAGCTTGTCAATCCTGTGTGGGACGTTAGTTCGAACGTCGTAGAATTTTTGCGGCTTCTTCTTCTCTGCTTGCTTCTCTGCAGCCATTTTACCACTGGTGACCTTTTCAACATTCTGCACTTGCGGATTTGCTTTTGTGCTATCCGCGTGACCTTTAGTCACTTCATTTATCGTCTCATGGATCAGTTCGTCTTTGCGATTCTCATTTCGTTTATCCCGCAGCTTCTCAATGACTTCACTTGTTATTTGGTCAGCTTGCTTCAAGTCGTCTGCTTCGCTGTCTTTCATCTCATTTGGTGACCTTTCATATGTTACCATATCATATCCCTTTTCGGTCATCCATTCAATCACTTTTGCAGACACTTCATTGTTCGTTTTTGTCGGGTCGATTTGCGAAGACATCCCGTCTGTTCGGGCTGGTGACTTGTCATTGGCATCCTTTTGTAGCGCTTGTGAGAAGTCCCGTGACCTTTCAACTGCACTACTCTGTTGTGTTTGCGCCATCTCATTTGACCCTCCTTTCTGTTCATTTCGCGCTAAGTCCTGTGACCTTTCATTGCGCTTTATGACAAATCCGCCGCCCGTCAACTTTTGTATGGGAACTTTTTCTCCATAATTCAGCGGTTTATCTTTCGGCGGTGCATTTCGCGAGTTATTCAGGTCAGCTTGTGCATTCTTGTATTCAGTCGCGTTGAATACTGGAGCCAGGTTCGGTGACCTTTCAACTTCTTTTCCAGTAACCAATTCTTCCAGTCTTTTTCTCTCATGTTGCGTTCGCAATTCTTGCATGTCCCAGTAATCTTCTTGAGACATTCCCGCTTTCTGTTTCGCTTTTGGTGTCACGGGTATCCACATCCCGTGATTCCCATTCGGTCTGTAGGCTACTTTTTGCCATATTTCCTTCCGTTGCAGCGTTACTGCATCTACAAGTGAGTCATCGGAGTTCTGCTGTGCCGGTTCGCTATTATTCTTCTGCTGCGCTGTTCGCAGTGTCAAGTCTGTTTCTTGACCTTTTAACACGACGCTGTCGCCGTGACCTTTAGCGTTCGAACGCGCTCCTTGACCTCTCACTTGGATTTTTCCCACGGAAGGTGACCTTTCATCTTTTCCGTTAGCTGTGATATTCTGCTCCAACCATTTTTGCGTTATCAATTTCCCATCTTCGTCGTCTGAGCAATTCCAGAACTTTGACTTTGTCCCTTCATAACAGTCACAACGTGACTCATTCACTTTGTCGTTTTCTGCCAAGTATTTCCGGAATTTCGCATGTTGCTCATTTTCCTCTTGCGCAGTGTCGTTCTGCGGTTTCTTTTGATTCAGGAGCGCCTGTTGAATCTTCGCATTGCGTAATGCCCGGCGTTCAGCTAACACCTTTTCGCTGCAATACGGTGACCTTTCGTTTTGCTGCGCTGTTCGCAGTGTCGCGCTACTGTCACGACAATTTCCACTCGCAGTACCATTCTGCGGTGACCTTTGGTCTCGTTGCACATTTCCACTCGCAGTACCGTTCTGCGGTGACCTTTTATCCGCTTGTACTGGTTTCCCGATAACCAGTTCTTTTTGCTGCTGTGACGGCATCCTTATAGCCGTTTCAATTTCCTTTTGCAATGACGACAACCATCTAGCCGTTTCAGTTTGCTGTAGCGGCATCCATATAGCCGTTTGCTGTGGTTGCGGCATCCATATAGCCGGTCCACTTTCTTTTTGCGCTGACGGCATCCTTATAGCCGTCGCAGTGGTCACATTCACTGCAGTACCATTCTGCAGTGGTGACCTTTCCATTCCCTTTTTATCCGGTGGTTTCGGGTCGGGGCGATCAGTAGGCTCACCGGTGCCTACTGATCTTGCCCGTTTCCCTGAACCGGCGCACCACTTTGTTGCGCGCCCTGCACGTTTCCTTGCACGTTTCCTTGTCCGCCGTTATTTACCGGGACATAATTTTGTCCGCCTCCGTTATTCTGGCCACCACCATTATTTTGGCCACCACCCTGTTGGTAGTTTCCTTGGCCGCCTCCATTTCCGCTGTTTCGGTTGCCGCCATTCCAATTTCCGCGGCCAAAGACTCTGTTTCTCCCTCTAAAGCCGCCGCGGAAGCCGCCACGGTTGCCACCGCCTTGGCCACCATTTCCGTTTCCATAATTTCCGTTTCCTTGCTGAAAGTTCGCTTTGGCCTGATACCATTGAGCGATCAGGTCATATCCATTTGCCACCGCCTGTCGCCAGCCGCCCGAATTGCGCAGCCGTTGCCACTCTCTGAAAGCGAACAAGTTCGGGTTCTGATCCGGCGGCGTATTCGCGAACTTGCATCCCTGGGTCTGATGATTGCCATACATACAGTATTGGCACATCTGTACACCGTTTGCAACCCATCCATCAATCATTTGAAACTTGAATTCCGTTCGTGACCCTGATTCTGCTGGAAGTTATTCTGGTTTCCCTATTTGGCTGGAAGTTGCCTTGACCTTGACCTTGATTCTGGAAGTTCCCTTGACCTCCATTCCAATTTCCATTACCATATCCGTTTCCACCGAAATTTCCATTGCCCACTCCTTGTTGTGGTAATCCTGCATTCATAGGGGCCACATTCTGTGGTGCCGGTGGAGCCACATTCTGAGGTACCGGTCTCACTTGAGCCGCCGCCTGTATCGCAGCTACCATTGCGTATGTAAGTGGCTGTCCCGTCTGGCTATCGATAAAGGTCACCTCCTTTGTGACCTCTTGCACCGGGGCTTCTCTGCGGTATTCAACCGCCTGTTGAACCGGTGCTGCCGCAATCCTTTGTTGTGGCACATTCTCAACTTGTCCTGTGCGAATTGTGACATAGTCCTGGTTGCGTTGACCTTTCGGTGCTTTGTACTTTTCTTCTCCAGCTGACCAATGTCGGAAGAAATCTTTGATTTCGGTTGGCGTTCTACACTGCTGTGTGCGCAGTGCCTTATAAAGGTCACTGTCCGCTCTGCATCCTTCGATAAGGAAGCCGACTGCTTGCTTCTCAGTAATAATCCTTTTCGCCTTGTATTTCATGATCGCTTGATAAAACTGATCAAGAGATTCCTTTCCAAGGTCAAATTTCCTTGCCATGGCTTCTCGTAAGCCGAGGACTTCTTCATCACGGTCACCGTATTCGTCTTTGAATTTGTTCATCCATTCTGTTATCGTATACTCCATCTCTTCCTGGAGTGCGATTTCCCTCTCGCCTTCGAACCAAGTTTTTGCTGGTCCTTTCACCGCGCTAGCTATTTCGATCAGGACCTGGTCGTCCGTAAGTTGATAAGTTCGCTGAGTGTCTCGGACCAGTTGTGTCCAGCCATTGACTGCATCGCGACTTCCGTCAAAGGTCACTAACGTCGTTTTCCGAGCCATCGAGTTGAGCGCTTTTGTTAATTGCGCCGCTGTCGATTCTGCTGTCAGGTCATCCTCTTCTTCGCTATTTTCATCATCATTTTGGTTTCGTTTCGCCTTTCCGTAACGGGACTTCCGAGGCGTTCTTGTCGACTGGGGGGTCTGTCCTGAGCCTTTCGTCAATATACACATTCGTTTCAATATGCGGGAAATTGGGAGGGATCGCCGTGACTCATGTGCGGATAGCCTCCTGATGGTGGCTCTTTGTCATCTTTGACCTTTTCACTATCCTTTTCGTTTTGACACTTCCGGTGCCCGTACCGGTTCGCAGTGGCATCTCGAAGTGGAAGCTTTTACCCGTGCCCGTTTCATGTGCTTTACTGTAACTGGGCGGGGGAGACTCCACTGTTGCTGCCTTGACTCCATGTTGAACGAGTTGTTCATCCTTATGTTTGTTTGACATCTGGAGGACTTTATTCTCGTCCTCAAGGCGTTTAGTTCGCAGCTGAAGTTCCTCTCTTTGCCTCTTCAAATCGGAATTTTCCAAGTTGACCTTTCGTAGGCGTTCGTGCAGCTTAAACGTCTCTTGCTGCGTGACCTTTTCGTTATCCTGTTCCATCTTTTTGATGTGCTCGACCAGCTCGGTTGTTTCTTTTTCAAGTTGCTTATATTGTCCAGCGGCTGCTCTCAGCTGATTCTTGATCGCGATCAACTCATCATCCTTTGCCAGTGCTGTGGTAGTCATTTCGAGTAGTTCGCTATTTAGCCTCGTAACTTCCTGGCTCTTTTCTGCAACTTGTTGCTGCCACACTTTATCCTTCCGCTCCAATGCTGTAACCATTGTATCCATTCGACGTGCTTCCTTCTGCCATTTAAGTCCCTCCTTGGTGACCTTTTCAATGTCTACCATGACCTTTTCATTCTCCCGGTTGACCTTTTCGATTTCTTCTTTCAGGCGTCCCCCTTCAGTGGCTGTAATGTCTCTTGCCTCGCGCATCTCTTTGATTGCGTCGTTGCGTAACTTTTCAGCTTCGTCTGCCCGTTTCTGGTGACCTTTCGACTCGTGTTGCAGGGTGCTGACATCTTCCTCCCGCAGCTTCAGGTCATTCCTGAGCTTAAACGTTTCCGTCGCCAACTTTGTCAATCGTTGTGTAGCCTCTGCTAGGTTGGCGGCGTATTCGTCCCGTTTAGTTTCGGCTTCGGTGACCTTTTGACGCAATTTGTCACACTCGTCCTTCAATTCCGCCAAGTGCCGTGACCTTTCGGCTGACTCCTCTGACATGCTCTCGTTAAGGTCACTGACTGCGAGATGACCTTCCATTTCTCTGTCATCTACCATTTTCAGGTACTCCTCAGCAAGCTCTTTTTGACGCTCGTATTTAATCTTCCATTCGTCCGCTGTGCTTTCCAAGTCAGCTTGTTGTTGCTCCAGTTCATAGATACGAGCATCCAGAGATCCTATCCGATTTTGATATTCCTGTTTCTTCTTCGCCACCAGGCTTTCCTTGGTTTCAAGTTCTTCTTCCAACTCCTTCACGCGTCTCTTCAGAGTTGACGTGAGACTGTTAGGTGACGGTGGTCGTACGTTGATGACCTTTCCTGTTGTTGTCCGTTCAATAAGGTGCTCCGGTATCTCTTTGAAAGGTGTCATCCCTTCAGCACGGTCAGCTTGTCTCATTGCGGATTGGAATGACATATTCATAGTCGTTTCATCGTCCGTGAAATATGATTCATTGGACTCATCTGAGACCATTGGAGTTGCCCAAAGGTCATCGTCTGCCGCTTTGTCATTCAGCGAAAGGTCACTCAATCCGAGCTCAGCCAATTCCTCTTCGGTAACCTTTGTCTTTTCCATTTCCACTTGAGCCGGGTTTGCGTTTTTATCCTGCTCTTCTGTTCTGACAATGGTAGCATCCAACTGTGATGCCCCAACTGCCTCCGCTTCCATTTTTGTGGTTCCATCCTCACCAGTGACCTTTTTCTGGTTCATCGGTTTGCCTCCCGCCGCAGACGCGGGAGTTTGCTTTCCGTCACCGCTGGAGCTCTCTTCGTTCTGTATAGCTCCGAGCGCCACTTGGTATGTACTGTCACTGCCTTTGCTGTCCTTTCTTGCAAAGGTCACAGCCGCTCGGGTCTGTCTATCGTGTCCGACTGGACGCGCGAGCGACTTGTATTCCTTCTTATACGGATCGACTGCGCCTTGCTGTGATCCGCGGGAGCTCCTGCTTCCCTGGCTGCTGTTAGATGTCGGTTCCACATTGTCTTTGTCCATGTTGATCGGATAACTTTGACGCTCCTGCCAATTGTTCTCACACACACGTTATCGTATGGTTTATTCAGTTGTCCTAAAGGTCACTTTACAGTTCGAAATTTTTCTAAGTCCCTTTTAAAGGTCACTTTTCGGTTGAAAAATTTCGACTAAGTTCCGTTTAAAGGTCACTTTTCAATAAAACTTCGAGAGATTTGCCCTAAAGGTCACTTTTCAGACAAAACTTCGAATCCGCTTTTACAGTTTAAAACACGTTTACGAATGAGATCCTACTGCTGCTAATATCGTTATACTATTACAACGCAATTTCAACTTCAATAAAGGTCACCGTTGATCGTTTGCAGATCTTAAAGGTCACTCGAGATGTCAATTCAGTCAATTTTAATTTTTCGGTAAAGGTCACTTTTCGGGGTCAAAGGTCAACTTCTGATCTCAAAGGTCACTTTCCGACTCAACTCAACTTAAAAGGTCACTTTCCAGCTCAGTTTAACTTAAAGGTCACTTTCCGACTCAATTTCACTTAAAGGTCACTTTCGAGCTCAATTTCAGTTAAAGGTCACTTTCCAGCTCAATTTCAAGTTCAAAATCACTTTCAACTCAATTTCTGTTAAAAGGTCACTTTCAGTTCAACTCAACTCAAAAGGTCACTTTCCCTTTCAAATATCTCATTTCGATTCCTATTTCTCATTACAACTCAAGTTCAACGGGTCACTTTCCAGCTCAATTCAAGTTAAAGGTCACTTTCCAACTCAATTTCAGTTAAAGGTCACTTTTCCCTTGTCTTAACTCGAAAGGTCACTTTTCCTTTCAAATATCTAGTCTCAAGTCGAAATTCTCGTTACAACTCAAGTTCAGCGGAAAATCCCCATTTACGTTGTTTACTTCGTTCTGATTGGTCGACTAGCTCAAACAATTCAGTTCAGATTTCAGCCAATCACAGCTCAGATAACTGACCAATCACATTAGGCCACTTAAATTTTATATCAGCCTGACGTCACGGTCAACGGCCAGACATGCGTGCCGCGTGCAAAACTCCGCCTACTTCTATGCTCAGCTCAGTACGGACCAATAAAATTGACGATTTTACCATCTAACCAATCCCGTAATTAATAACGGCTTTTCTACCTGTTCACCGTCCGTTCCGCGGGAAATGATCCAGATGATCCGATTCTTCTCCACACTCCGTTCCCGCGCTGCCGCTTTTCCGTAGCGGTTGTGCCGCACGCTTTAGTCAGTTACTGTGCCGGCTGACTGCCGTAGCAACAGTAGTGGCGCTCTACTCCAGTTTGGAGGAGTCTGATCTGGTCTTGTCCCGTGCACCTTTTGGCGCTTCGCCGCTTGTGGCTCACGGCTTAGGCTCGCTGAATTCGCTGAATCTTGCCGAGTATCAGTGACACCAGTGTAGGTCTTCGCTGAAGACTCTACACCGAGGAACACTGACGACTGAACTCTTGTACTCTTGCTCAGCTGAGGAAACAGCACAGGTCTTCGCTGAAGACACTGTACCGAAAACCAAAGCTGGAAATCCGCGTCCCGATGGAGTTGCACCGCTTGTGGTGTGCGCTTTGCTGTTGCACGGACCTGTGCCTTACTGGTCACAGAAAACACATCAGATAACAGGCCAACTTTGCCTGACACAATTCAATCAGAGAACCGCTGTCGGCTCTGCTACCATCTAATGCTAGATCCAGAATGGATCCAGGGACGGAGGCAGAAACGGAATCTATCCCGTGGAGTGAGCTATGCGATATGTATAGCGAACTACGCGGAATCGCGAGACGTCGCACCGCTAATAGCCAACTTTTAATAATATTGAAAATCTGCACAACAGAAATCAACAAGTGATCGGCGCAGCTCGATCGCAAATCGTAGAGCCAATTCAACAGTGTGTAACACTGTGCAGCACGTGCTATGCCGCGCCCACTAGCCAATCAGAGCGAGACACAACACAGACACGTAATCCAGCTGGCGTAGCGTCGTGGACGTGAACGCTAGTGAACCCCCGCTCACAGTATGTTGGAGAGTTCCGTCATCAGCTCTGTTATCTGCTGAATAATGGCAGGGCCGGAAACCGAAAGCAAACATAAGACAATTATTGCCTTCTTTTTTATCTGTGAGTTAAGAGAGTCAAGACGCATACCGGTTCTTTACATTATGATGTAATACGTACGCACGATAGGTCCGGTTGAATTAAGTTTGCGAAGTTTCTGGAGATGAACGATGCACCCGATTATCTTGCGGAAGAATGGAATGAAACGGCAGTGGATTTCAGTTACGAGATTTTAGAGCATTTCGAAGTTAGTTTAATTATGTCGTTTCTTCCTGTAATCATGAATATCGTTTGTAATTTTGCTGCCTGCGATCACATGGCTTATTTTTATGTTTTAATTATTTTAAAAAGGATTTTTTACTATTTCAGTTTAGTATTTTTGACGTAGCGTTTCTGCCCACACTTCCGCCCACATCAGTAATTTTCGCCCACACGTTTCTAAGGTAATGACAGACTACACTTTGGATCTACGTGGCAGACCCGGTTTAAGCAAGTGGTTCGTTTGATCACGCTACGCTGTAATACGAGTACATTTTTTTAACAAACGGAAACTGTGTGGCGCGTTTGGGAACATATGGTGTGGCCGATTACAGCATGTATTATGTTTTTTGAATTTCAAGAATAAAATTGACATTTCACGTGACTAATGCTGGGGATATACATGTGGTTTTTCCTGCTTACTATGCAATTAAGTACTGTGTCACAAAGGAAAGTATCGATCTATTCAACTCCAGTCCTTGAGCAGACAATAAGAAAAACCTTTATTTCCGTGGGTGATCAGTAATTATTATCATAAGACATTTAGGCATATATGTATCAATTTTGGTTATTTGGAGATGTACTATTTTGCATACGGAACTGCGCCATACGGTATCGATTTCTAATTCGCAGCTAAAGATATAAGAACGTCAGAACTAAGAACATCTTATCCACTAAACAGTCAGAGGCATATAACAATTGAATTGTGATAACAGTCGCGAAATGATAACGTAACGAAACAGAAAAACTAGAAAACGTGGGAAAACCATAAGATACGTTAGAAAACTTGAAAAATTATAAGGAAAAATTCCGAAGATTTGAGAAACCTGAGAAAATCTAAAAAAGCTTAAAAAACCTAAGAAACTTAAGAAACCCTGCTAAAACCTAAGAAACCTAAGAAGAATAAGAGAGCTTGAGAACTCTTAAGAAGTGCTAAGAAAAGCTAAGAAAGTTTAAGAAACTTAAGACAACTTAAGAAAGCCTACTTAAGAAAATCTACGAATACGAAAGAAACCGTTAGAAAAAAACAGTAGCATGCAGAAATGTCTGCATGCCGAAATGTCTTGTGCCGAAATGTCTTATGCTGAAATGTACTACGCTTAAATGTCACTATGCCAAAACGGTCGGATACGGCGCGGAATTCGTTACTCCATGCTATTCGAAACATAATTTTTTCCGACGTAGTATGCGTGAAATTGCATCCCCCGTCTACATTCTCCGTTGCCGTTGTTATGGCAACGTTCGAGATTTAAATTATAACTAATAACTGGAGAAGTGCTTGCAAAACTGCGCTTCAACTCTTCAGTCGGCGCCGTGAAACCAGTCACTGCTATCGATGGAATCACATTTATTGTTTACAGCAAAATAACCCCGTGGCCGTGGTGGGGAGCTGTCGTTAAAACATATTCTAATATTATTATATTCAAAAAAGTGCTAAAATGACAATATTTTGATCCAGAGAAGTTGTGCTCTTGCTATTTTGTTACTCTGATCTGTATGCCCTTTCCGTCGTTGCACGTACGCACACCTCACCTAACGTTAACTTGCCTCAGTGCGCTTGCTGCGAATAGAATATGGAAAATCTGTGAGTGGTTCCGAGTGCGACTGCAGTTCCGTTTTGGTAAGTTTTAGAGCAGTTTTCGTTGTCTGAGACATCTCTGCTTGAGTACAAGATTAGCTGAAGTTTCGAAGCAAAACTTGCACTAATAAATTTGTATCTCTACATCCGAGTTTTCTGAGTATTCTGCTTTTTTTTCTGACTATTTTGTTTTCTGACTATTCTGACTTGAGGCCAAAATTATAAAATACTTGTCAATTTTGTTGAAATTCAAGTCAAGAGTTATCGATGGTCTGTTAAACACAGTAACCGTCTGCAGTTTGTTCGGCCGGACACTTGGCTAAACAGAAACAACTAAGATGTTCGTGAGAGTTCTTCAGTATTTTCGCAAAAATTCCCAGCAGATCTCACATAAAATTAGATAATAACTGATTTCCCTGTCTCCAGAATTACTGGTTTCCTTTTTGTCAGTAAGGAAACTTTCCACCCAGCGCATAAGGTTACTGTACTCTATTCTCAAATGAGTTATAATACTAAACACTTTCAACGCGCTCCATGCATTCCACAATTAACAAAATTATGTGGCGAATGCGGCGGCGGATGGCAGTAACGAGAAGGGCAAACACACTCTTTGGCTCTTCGAGTTCTTTCTTGACGCAGCGGGCAGATACATGTATGGTCTTTGCTATGTTGCTTCGTGAGAGCTGGTTTGCAGTTTTTTAGAAAACCCTTTCATTAAGTAACCTTTTTAAGGTGAAGATAACGGTGAGTAAAATATGAATTTTGATTCGTAGACGTTTGCACAGAGCTGAGAACATGTAGAGCCAAGTTCTACGCGTAACAGGACCGGAATAATATCTTTATTGTTTTTACGAGAATTCTCGTCACTGATGGCGCACAAAACCAACGAAATATCAATAACATGACAACACTGGCATTTTTCTACCGTTTTCATGCTGGACGCACAGGACACAAAGGTCGCTACAGACACTACATCTCGAGACATTACACAACGGTACACGCCCTTCACTTCTGAAATACACACAGAAAAGTATGATTTCCTAACATTGCTAAAGATTTCAAGGAAGATATTAGAACACATGCAGTTCATGCAGTCACGGACAGAAACGGAGTCGTCCAAATGCTCATTTGGTTTGGCGGATACTCCTGGTTCATTCGGCTCGGCTTCTTCAACGCCTTCTTCTGCTCTCCAGCGTTGAGTACACTTCGATGACAGGTACTTCCGTGTGATGTCG